AAAACGAGTCATATGAGAAAGCCGTACGTGCCCAAAACATGACGTAGTTGCAGGCAAGACAGCAGTAAGTGACATTATTCCTCCGAAGAGCCAATGAAAACAGGGATTTCAAGTAAATGAGATACGACTGATGCTCAACACTGTTTTCAAGTAAAGTGCTGCCCTTTTCTGCGAATTTGTGACCTGAAAATGTGTTTGTAGTGTGTCCAAAAGGCAACCACAAAAGCATGCAGAAGATGGCACTTACAGCTGTCTTACCTAACAATGGCCTAGTACATAGGCTGTCCAAAAAGTACCAAGACTGGTTCCATAACTCAAAAACCAAGATAGCTAGAGGCTTGATCTTGGTCTCATTTGAAAGATCAACTCAATATCTATCGATTAAGACCAAAATCAAAACTTTCAGTCAAATATTTCAAAAGTTACAACACTGTTTGTAAAAAAAATATTGGGACCCCCTACCGTTTTTTATGACTACTAGGGGGCTACGCCCCCTGGCCGCTCCGCGACCCAACTCCCAGGTCGTAAATTTGTTTCAAGAACTGAGAGGGTAGGACCGAAGGCATGAACCATCTGGGCCCCCGAGTGTTTTTATATTTTGGTGAAATGAGTTCCCAGCTGACTCTGGATGGTTGACTTTTGATCAGTCGTGATCGACGTAGTTAAAATTGACTGCCGTAGACTTGGACGTATTTTTGACGAACGGAACTATGTGCATTAAGATATGAGCCCTGATACCCATAAGAATATATGCATAGCAGGGCTCACGTCCGGGCGAGGGCGACCGCGACCCACTTGGCTCGTAAACTGTCGCAAGAGAGTTTTATGGGTTTTTTAGGACGCTGCCGTCTGTCCCAAAAAATATCAAAAACGCTAATTTGTCTTCAAAGAGAATCTGTGTTATTTCTGCGCAATCTGACAACCACATATTTGTCCCAATTTTGCAAATTTGGAAAAAAGGCAATTACTCTCGTGTGGGTGAAAATTTCAAAAATCGGGCTTCGAGGTGCACGTGTGCGTATAAAGCTGCATTAGTGGGTAGAAAGGTCTATGTTGAGACTTCAACGGTATGCTCTGTACACCTTGACATGGATGCAGTGAATTTTATAGATTTTTCGTGATAACTCGACAAATTGTAAACATTATACGGACAAAAAGCTTCAGCATAACCATTTCAGCTCCCCCCTTCATCATGACGAATTTCAAGTTCATGGGATCAATATTAGTCACGAAATAGGCAAAAATAGATTTGCAGATTTTTTGCAGTAACTCGGCTAAAAATGAAAAATTCAAAAAAAGGAGATCGCGCCGTGCTACAGCACATAAGGTGTCACAATTCCGTAAAATTGCCATACTCTTGCCCTAACGGTAACTTCAGGACAGCGCGGAACAGATCTCGACAATTTTAGGGCTTACGATTTTATAATATAGTAAGATTTTTTCTTGCCGGGAACACTCTAAATTATCAATGATCAATGCACGATTTTGTTGCAACAAATCATGGCAAAACCTTGCCTCTTAAGCCCTTCTTCAACGTAGGGAAAAACCAAAAGTCACAGGGTGCGAGGTCTGACAAGGGGAGTCTACGAAGTGACATCCTGGGATTGGGTTCATTTTGCTTGTACATGAAGAAGAGACAAATCTAAGGTTGACGTATTTTTTTTTAGCCGCCACCTCCCAACCGTTCTCGAGATATCGATTTTTAAAGTTACGATTTTTGCACGTTTCCGCGCGGAGTTCCGGCGAGTTAACAGAGCGCCGGCAAGCTGCACGAAGCGCGTTTCTTATCAGCGCTGCAGACCGGCCGATGTTATCAACTGTTCCGTGGCCGAGTGGTAGAGTGTTCGCCTACCGTTCCATCGATCGCGGGTTCGAGTCCCACTTCGTATCGTAGCTTTTGGGGTCCGCCGCAATGCGTTTTTACAAGTTTCCTTTATTTTTATCACACACCAAGGGGTCCGCCCCCTAGCCGCTACGCGGCACAACCCTCGGGGCGAAAAGGCCCACATCGCGGCAAGCGAAATCATAGAAATCAACCGTTGACGGTTACTGGGTAAATAATTTGAATTGAATGATAAAATGATGTTTCAAATAAAAATTTCCCACCACACAATATTCTTAATGACTTTTTCCTTACTCTGAATTTGCAACCGGCAACGGTCGATTTCGACGATTTCGCTTGCCGCGAAGCGGGCCTTTTCGCCCCGGGGTTTGTGCCGCGTAGCGGCCAGGGGGCGGACCCCTAGGTGTGTGATAAAAATAAAGGAAACTTGTAAAAATGCATTGCGGCGGACCCCAAAAGCTATGGTACGAAGCGGGACTCGAACCCGCGATCGATGGAACGGTAGGCGAACACTCTACCTCTCGGCCACGGAACAGTTGATAACGTCGGCCGGTCTGCAGCGCTGATAAGAAACGCGCTTCGTGCAGCTTGCCGGCGCTCAGTTGACTCGCCGGAACTCCGCGCGGAAACGTGCAAAAATCGTAACTTTAAAAATCGATATCTCGAGAACGGTTGGGAGGTGGCGGCTAAAAAAAAATACGTCAACCTTAGATTTGTCTCTTCTTCATGTACAAGCAAAATGAACCCAATCCCAGGATGTCACTTCGTAGACTCCCCTTGTGAGCTGTAGGGGGGGTGCGGAAGACAGACAATCCCGTGTTTATCCATACTCTTTGGTGCACTGGGCCGTGTGGGGGCGGGCGTTGTCGTGGTGCAGGAGCCATGTGTCCTTCATCTCTGGCCGCCTCTTGGCAATGTGCTGACATAGTGTCATCAGTGCAGAGCTGTAGTACTTCTTGGTGATTGTCTGCCCAACAGGGACAAAATGTTGATACACCATCCCTCGAAAATCAATGAATGCAATAAACTAAAAATCCTGGAGGGGTCACCTCAACATGTCATTTTCAAAACACTGTAACTTAGTCATTTTTTGACTTAGAGAGCTCGGACTTGTCTTGTTTCATCGGTAATTACTAGGACTCTAAGGCTACAAAAACCGCACTTTGATATCTACTTTCTTTCGCCCCCTGGGAAAGAAAGGGCAGTACTTTTGGGACACCCTTTGTATTCTACTGTGAGTCAAGAGGATATCCATAAAGTGTGTAACATTGTCATGGTTCGTGCAGCCTCAAGTTTAAAAAAATCAAGCACTTTTTCATTATTTTTCCTCAAGCGTAGTTTTCTCCCCGTATCGTAGAAATTTGCTTCATCCACAAACCAACACTTCTCTGTTGTTTGGGAGATTTGTTCCCAAGACTCCAAGCGTTTCCTAGATGTTATTGTCCTTTCAAGTGACTTTTGACAGAAGATTCGCCCATTATGACAATTTTAAAGGACTTTCCGCCGCGATATATATATGTACATGCTGAAAATTTCATTATCATCAGACTCTGAGGAGCCAATCTTTATATTTATCATTGGACAACCATTATTTATTGACAATACAACCACCCTGCAAGACGTATTTTGACATTCAACCACCAATGCTTCAAGTAAAGTCGAAAAAAAATCTATAAAACGAATCGATATGTCTACTCCCTGAAGTGAAATTTCAAAACTAGGTGTAAGAATAGGGAAGTATCGAACATAAGTGATCAACAGCTAGAAGCCCTTGGCGACATCAATTCAACAAGAAAACAGCAAATATTACATGGCTTTTGGGCCCATACGCCCACTTCTCCTCCCGTAACTTGGAAACTGTTCCTCCGCTCATCTTGAAAGTTTTCACCGAGCCTTAAGTTATTCTACACTTCAATTAAAACTCGGTTCGTGGCCAAATTGACTGCCCAAAAAGCAGGCCAATTTTTGGAGAGCTCCATAGAAACTTTGGGCAATTTTTGGCTCTGAGGGGTAACTACAGGCCTCCAAAATAATGGTTGAAAACGGCGGTTTGAGTGTTCTGGTACTTTAAATAACCATATTTAAGAAACCTAAGCATTATGACTGTAGAGGAAATTTCTTTTCAATCATGTGACAGGACATACTGCCGGTCATTAGCCTATTTCAGTCCCAAAAGACCGTTAAATCAAGTTTATTTTCCAGGAGCTCGACAGAATTTTTCTCTTTTTGACTTCAATGACTCGGTAGACACTGTACTTAAGAATCTGAAGAGTTTATGCTTTTGACTCGTCGAAAAGTTTAAACTCGTTCAGGCAAACAATGCTGGGAGAGTGTTACAAAAATGGCCGAAAACACACGATGTGGCGCCACTTCGAACGGGAGATAGGGGCGCTTTAAAAGTGATGAAATAAGTTGTGTTATTTCTTTCATAAAGTACCATAAAAAAAGTGTCACCAAAAAAAATTAAAAGAGAAAAAATATCCGCGATATGACAGAAAAACGCGATTTTTTGAAGTTTGAGGTTCCTGCTTGGAAACTTGTTGGCTGGTACCTGCGGCACCACTTAGAAAGATCCAATCTGGCTGAAACTTTTTATAAGTTCATTTCATACCACAAGACAAGTTTTTAGGGGATCAAACCTTTGATTTTCAAAAAGTCGAAAAATAAGAACCATTCTTTGAACCATTGAAAATTAGAGAGAGATATATTTTTAGCACTTTTCGAACACCCTCCCCAAAAACCAAGCACTTTCAAGGCCTTGAGTAATAATTTCAAAATCAAGCACTTTTTCAGACTGCGGGAACCATGACTATTGGAGGTGGATGGGGCAGTGCCTGGGCGGGACAAGCAGAGGAGGGGTGTCAAGATCAGCAATCAAAAACTCAGGACTGAAGTGACCTAGGAAGTGTGCGACATTGCTAATCTGAAATTTTAATCTAGATACGATGCACCAATTTATCAGTGCATAAGAGTATTAGCAGATGCCTTTTTAGTTTTTTTTTTTTTTTTTTTTTTTTTGCAGAAACCAAAAAATATTTTCAGGCGACAGCAATATTAAGGTTAATGGAGAATTTCTCCGCTGCATAAAGCCATAATTTCTTGAAGTGGGAGCGAACAAGATGGTGGATTAAAAAAGGTATGTTGGTTTTTCACTAACCATAATGCATTTGTGTTGCACAGTAATTTTGTCTGTCGATCGCTGAACAATGATGACAGTGCTTCTCTTCGTTGCAATCTTTAGTTACGTATATGATGATGACAGCAATATGTCTACAGCAGATTGGAAGCTAAAAAAACAGTGGATTCATTATAGTCGAATTTTTATGCTTATAATACTCTCAACAAATTCATATTATAGCTATCCTTCATCCCCTTATAGAAAAAAAAAATTCGGCAAGAAAAGTCTGCATCAATAAAATGTGCTTTAATTTTACCTTTCAACATTCTTCAAGACCTCCACTTTTTAAAATACATAATCAGAGACTTTTTAACGATCATGAGTTTCCCTCAAATTCTGTAAGCAAATCATCTGCCAAAGAATGTACAGTCATACAGCATGACTGTTTCTTTCAGGACTGGAGGCACAGAGAATTGATCCTAATTTCACTTGAGAGGACGCATCATGCTCACACAGTTGAAATTACATAATTAAGACTCACAGCCACAGATAATTGCTCATTTAGCAATAACTAACCAGTAAATTTTTGTCTGTTAGTCTGCCTCAATAAGCCCACCTCCAAGATGGACCTCAAGCTCATGGCAACAAAAATGAACCTTCAACTTTAAGTGGTTGATGAAAGATTTTTATTCACTCAAAATTAAAGGAGACAGTTTTCTATGACACAAAAAATTTCACTAAAACTAGTGAAATCCAAGTTAAACTAGAAAACGTTTAGAAGATAGAGGAGGCAGTACACTACCTCTGAGTACTTACACAAAATTATTTTCCAGGCAAAGTTTACACGTTCAACACAAAAATCAGCCATCTACTTAATTATGCTAGGAAATTGGTATCCTCCCCAGATCAAATTTTCTCTTTGTGTAACCATCTGCAAAAATGATCAAAGGGTATGGACAAAAACTGATTCAAGATCACACAAAAGTATCCCTCATAAGAGATGAAAAAAGTTCATTAAAAAGCAGACAGTAGATAAGGCAAAAAATGCATTGCAGTTGCACACAGGAAGAGAGGAATTTCGGCAAAATATTATTTCTTCAAACTTGTAGAATAAGAATTGAAACGGAAGAAATACAGTAAAAGTCTATTCTTCCTCTACATACTAAGCTCTTTCTCAACAGGGTAGAGCTGATGTGCGTACTTACTGCTACTAGATTAATCAGTTTGGACGAGCAGGTGCTTATGCACCTGCTCTTCCAAGCTAGGTAATCCATAGCAGGTAATTTGAAATCATAGGTTAGTCCTTCAGGGCCCTAATAACTTCATGCATGGAGGTACTACTCGAGGTCTTGTAGATTTATAGACACTCTTCTTGTCTACATACTCTAGCTGCTATATCCTTATGAGGAAATATTTCCATGAAAGATGGGTATGGTGAAATAATTTATTTCTAGATTGAGTGAAACTCTGAGAGATCAATTTTTCAAGTAATCAAAAAAAAATTCAAAATTCAAAATTTTGGAATAGTAGAGTAATCAAGATCAATACCTAATGTTATCCAAGGTCGATAGACCTAGGTCAATCCATTGGGAAATTTGAGTGTGATGACCTTTGGAAAACAGCAGCCACGGCTGTCTGCATTGCCCAAAGATTCCGATTTACTTGTCCCACTCTGCTGTTCTCTTGATCTGATTTCATGGGTCTTATGCAGGTCTGGGAGATCAGGGGGAACTATGCAACAGAGCAGCGCAAGTTGGGGCAATGTGTGGAGAGTAGTGAAACAGCTAATCGGGGAATCCGTCACCAGATCAGGAAATTTCAAAGAACATCTTGCTATTGGACTGACCTGGATCTATTGACCTTGAATGTTATCCGTCTTGATCTAACTTCATCAAAAAGAAAAAAAACTTTACCAAGACTGAGGAGAATAACTTTTCGCAGAGAAAAAACAAAAAAAGGCATACTTAATTATCCATCCCTAGAACGGAAAAAGAAAAGATTGGACAAAATTCACATCAACCTAAATGCATCAATCATCAGTTGGCCAGCATGAGTGCGTAAGTTTGCGCCTAATTCCAGAACCACAACTGATCCAGCAGGTTATCATGTTCAACGAATTTCTCCTGCAACGGTGAGCATCAAAAGATTGTTTACGGACCTCAAAACTCAACACTGTTGCCAACTCAGATGTTATTTTCATAGATTCATTCATCCCGATTTTGGTGGTAAATGGCATCCAAATCAGAAAAGCGGAATACCAATATCAACTAGTAAAGTTTACACACCTATAGAGTGTGACAAAAGATTGACCCGTTCCTAGATTCTGGCATTTAATTTCAATGCTAACCTGAAGACAGCTATTCTTCTATATAATCTTATTTGGCGTGGATCCTAGTCCCTATCTTTGTCCCTTGCTCCCTCTCCTTTTTGGGTAAATTAATAATACTTCATCCCGTAGGCCCCCGCAAGCTTGTGAAATATATAGTGGGATGGTATAATGAGCGAAAATAAATAAGTTTATAGTATCTTAGGGGCTATCTATAAATTACGTTTGGCACTTAGGGAGGGGGGTCTTTAACAGCCTTACGGTGCCTTATGAGGGGGAGGGGGACGTAGGACTGAGTTTAGCGTAAGCTTACTGGCGTATATTAGAAGAAAATTCAAAAATCCATTTTTCGTCTGTTTGATAATAAAATTCAGGATGAAATATAGAGGAAATTAGCCCATCACCAATTGCTGACCGATCGGACCATGCTCCTGTCATTTTTTTTGATTCCCACTTCTCCACTCTGCAGGATTATGAGTAGTGACTTCAATATCACGTCAACTTCATACTTTTAACTATTCCAAAAACAAAAAAAATCTTAAACTTTTGCTTCACCTATTTTTGTTTACTAAACTAATTGTATCATTAATATTTTCTCTGAACTTACTTCAAAAATAGAGTTTCACAAATTAAAATTTTGGCCTAAACATTTGATTGTTTTTCTAAAAGAAAATGTAATATTTAGATTTGCGATAATTGAAAAAGGGGGGGAGGGGTCAGTCGAGCCTTACATAATTTTTAGAGGGGGGGGGGGATGCCTTACGGTGCCTTACGATGGGGGGAGGGGGGTCTAAAAATGGGGAAAAGTGCTTTACATAATTTATGGATGGCCTTTTGTATCAGTATTTTTTCAGTATCGCTTGATGTGGTTTAATTGAAATCGCCTTGATAATGACCATAATGGACCACTAGACAAGGTACGAATTTCAACATTCTGATACATGTTTCTTAACCAAAATTTCACGTAAAACACGATACCTACAACGAAAATTACCGATATCAACTCCTTACGAAGATATTTAATGATTCTTGGTGCGTGAATTCAAACTATCCGCTCATGAAAACTCAATGCTCTACGTGATTCACATCGCGCATTAAACGTTATCATGACAGTCTCTGCGATAAAAAAATCTGGCAACCTTAATCTTGACACTTTGGCTCAGCTATTACAAATAACTTATAGTTTGAACAACACATGGTGGGAAATGAACATTGCTCGATTGAGCAGCTTGCTGAAACCGTTGTAGTGCGCGATTTGACTCACGTAGAACTTTGAGTTTCTTGTGAGCGGGCAGTTCAAATTCCTCGTAACCAATGTGAAATAAAAACGTTAATATCTTTTTTAGAAGTTGGTTTCAGTAATTTTCGTTGCGCAATTCGTATTCTACGTGAAATTTTGGTTAAGAAACATGTATCAGATTGCTTAAATTCGTACCTTGTCTAGTGGTCCATTGTCGAAAAGCTTCAGCTCCGAGTTAATAAACGCATTTCATAACACCTTGGTTTTGTGTTTTCACAAAAGAATCCCTACCATTATATCAGTATGTTATAGTCTCGACCCTACAGGGTGGAAGTGCGAAAAGACCAGTAGATAAAAACTAGTTTTATGACCAGAGGTCCAAAATAGTGAAACCAGGTTTCATACATTTCCGCAATATTACAATTTTTTTTTTTTTTTGACAAATTTTTTTTCAAGACCTTATACTTACTACTACAAGAATATATAATGTGCGATATATAATCTGCATGATTTATATAAACTAAATTGAATTTTTACATAACATGTATAAAAGTAGTTTCGACTACGAGGCATTGTGAAAAACCGAATGAAAGTAAGCAATGTTTTCTGATTTTTACCAGTGACTCGTAATTTTGATGTAGACACAAAGAAAACATGATTTTAGGACTTTACCGACTGACCCAGTTTTTATCATTTAGTAGCGTTTTATTGATTTTTGCGTTTGAACTCTAGACATGTAAGTGTATTCTAGATTAGTAGAATTTAATTTAGCGGGAGAGGCAAAAATCTATAAATATCATATGATACCGTGACGATCAAGAATATATAGAAGTAAAAGGGGTCACGAGGGACCTCACACTCACCTCCAAAGTGCTTGTAGTCTCTGTTCTCCCTGTTAAATTGTAACCATGAGCTGTGCTTAAAATAAAAAATAATAATAAAAAAAAACAATACACTGAAACGTTTACTTTTCAATGACGCTGAACATCAATTAATGTTGATTTTTGAGTTTTGAACTGGGTTTAGGGTATAGGGACCGAGAATACATAACACTATTTTAGGTTCCTACCTACACCTATTTCATCCTATAATTTAATTCGTCATCTTTCTCCCTCCCCTCAAGTCCATCGAAAGAAGAAAAAAAGAAGTAGAAATTTGAGCCCCGGGCTCAGGAAGAAAAAAAAATGCGTAACCTTAAGTGTTATTTCAAAACGAAGCTGGCTTTTCATTTTCGTCCAAATTCTAGAATGAGACTTTCTCTCTGCAGAACCTTTTAAATTACGGAAATTACGGTCAAGCTTAAAATTAAATAATAATAATTAAAACTGCTAACTGTACTGCTACTTCACCACGATCATTCTCCAGCTCAGCTACTTAGTTAATATTCTATGCTATGAACTAGAGGTAGGTACTAGAACCAGACTTAATGGTGCGAACATTAAATTCCGGAGTCAGCCTCCGGATTTGTCACCCTTTGAAATCCGGATTTTCAGGTTGAGCAACCAATCAGAAATTCAGACAGACAAACAACACGTCATTCAACGTTGCATTAGACACATTAACCAGGAGGCGCTATTCCGCGAACCTTATGTGATGACTAGTGACAGGTTAGGTGCAATTTCCAGAGGCGCAAAGTTCCCCCCCTGGTTGGCATACATACATTTTTGATGAATGGTGCAGTTTACTTATGTGACATGAGTCCATCCTAGTTCACGTTCCAAGTATGCAAATATGCCCAGATTTTTTGCAGGGATCTACGATTATTTGAGGACACAAATTCTAACTTTATCTCTAATTGACAAAGTTAGGTTAAGAGGATTCAAATTCATAATCAATAACTATCCATCCCTACAGAAGAATAGGTTCAGTGATTTGACAGGTCCCGAGTCAATATTTTCAAGTTCCAATCCATTCATATCCATAAATAAATAGCAGTTATGCCAAGAATGTTCTAACTTCTGATTAAAGACTAGAAGTTGTGGATGCCTTTCTACTGGAGTGAAGTTCAGCTCATGTACAGTAGAAACTTGAGAATATCCTTTTAAATGCATACCCTCAACTAGCAGCCATGCACGGTGCCCCTGAACTCACTTTAAATGCGACTTTGTTGTACATCAAAAATTCAAGTTGGAGGTTGTAGTGGGGTACTCCCTGATGGGTTTTTGGGCAATTTCGAAATAGGTTGTCGGAGCTCCTCGAAAAATAATCGTATTTTTGTGGTTTTTTAGGGGTAAAATA